AATAAAATACATAATATTTTACATATACTGCCCTATTTATATTTCTTTCTTTTAATTGTTGGAGGTGGATTCTCATGTACTCATAAGGACTTAGAGCAAATGCTTTGGGTGCATAGTAACTACGCCACTGCAAGTTTTGCACTCCATCACTGACTGCTCCATATGACAGGGGTTGACTATTAAAATAGAAATTAATTAGAAAGAATGGTTGAGGCATGAGATCCATAATGTGCTCATAGTCTAGTATAGTTAATGCTTTCTCTGCCTTAGCCTAGTATAGTTAATTCTTTCTGTGCCTTGAGGCATTGTCAGAATAGATGCCATGCAACAGAGTAAGAAATAAATATGATAGAGGGTGAGAAGGAGAGAGCATGCTGGTAGTGCAAGCAGTTGAAATTCCGCAGGGGAAACAAGGCAGGATTGGTATTTAAACTGTTCTGGTTTGATTTTCTCATCTCGACACACCTAGAGTCAAACAGGAAGAGGAACCTCCACTGAGGAAATGTCTCCGTCAGATTCCTTGTAGGAGAGTCTCTGCCTATTTTCTGGTTGGGAGAGGCATGCCCAGCCCACTGTAGGCAGTGCCACCGCTGGGTAGGTGCTCTGGAATGGCGCCAAGCCAGATGACTGAGTCATGTAACTGGCAGTCATTCGTTACACTAGGACATAGAGATTAGCAATTGCCATGAATATTGAAAGCAAGTATTTGTCTTAATTTTAATAAATAAAATAATTATAGATTTGGATTTTGTGTAATAAATACAATTAAGCATGTGAAACTCCTGTACCAAATTTAAGATTTCTTGACTGTTTACTTACTGATTTTTAATTCATGTCTAACTGCTTTTCTTTAAATCACAGTCACTGAGCTCTGTCAGTTACATCAAAAGAATTGTCATTTGAGAAGAACAGTTAAGCTATCATTATAATTACATTTTAGTTCTTTGAAAAGGAGTTAGAAGTGGTGAGACAGGCTGGAGCTCCAGCACTGAGGGAGGGGGACAGCAGGACTGAAAGTCAAGGTCAATTCAGGCTGGCCTAAGCTACGTACGACTGACTCACGGAACAAAACAAAATTAAAAAAAACACAGTTGTTTTGTACATGATAGATCCAATAAAAATAGCTTAATTTACTTTATAACAAAATCTAACATTTATAGAACTCTTTCAGGCTAATTTAATTCCTTCATTCAGATTAATATTAAAATAAATTAATAAAGTTATTATGGGCAAAGTCTCATAGACCAATGCAATAAGCTTGGGCTACACTGTGGAGTAAGTGATTATTCAAATAATTTCATTAGATGTTTAAAACTAGTAAAATGTGGTTTTGAAGTCTAAGGTCAATTTTATTTTGGAGGAAGAAGTTATGAAAAAGGCAAAGAAGTAATTTTTGAATTTTAAATGAAAATGAAAGGTTAAATTAAAGGGCTTAGATATAAAGCCTACAAGTCATAAAATCTCTCAAAAGTTAAGGAAGTTATTTTAATCAACGGCTTAAAGGAAAACTAATGGAATATTCTGGATCTAAATCATCTAAATGCCCTGAAAAGCAATATGTTCAAATTTAGATATGAACTATCAATTTACTGAGGATTGCATATAAAGATATATTCTGAAGCAAGAGACAGCATGAGGAGATTTTATTCTTGATTCATTTTCAGCTTGACTTACTGGCATGAATTATTTCTAAGAAAAAAAATTACCAACATTGGAGAGATTGCAGAGAGCTTTGGGTTAAGGATATTGAAAAGTGTTCCGTGTCAACTTATCCATTTCAAATTCTCATCAGGGTGGCAATAAGCTAACAGATTGACAATGTTTGATATGGTATATTCTCACTTGTCACTGAAGAGAGATCACTTCACTATGTAAAGAAATTACCCTCATGATGAACATAAATTCCGGGAAGAAAGTATATTTTTGTCAAGAATAATCTAGATAACCACTAGCATTCACTACCAACATGAACATTTCAGCTTTGTGTTTATTTATGACCACCTCCCTGAACTTGAAAATAAGATCAGAAACATAATTTTTTCACTTCATTAATTTTTACTATACCCCTGTGAGCGAGATATTTATTAATGCTAAACTAAAGTATTAGCATTAACTGGGCTGAAACATGTTTGTAGCTATTCCACTGGGAAGATTTTAATGTGAAAATTCTCATGTTAAAATGTGCCTGTGCAGGGCAGGTCTGGAGAAGAAGGTCTCTTTGAGTGAGGCATCAAATCCATTAGCTGCTATTCAGTATTAGAATACGTATTCTAATTATATCTTTGTGTATAGAGATACAAGGAAATTAGTTGAGTTGCTTCATGACTACCTTTACAGAATAGATTAGGCTTTACGTCAGGCTAATTAGATCTGCTGCTGATTCACGTAAAGATGTGGCTGAGATTGCAATACAAGGTTCACCTGAGAAATATTATAAGAATTTGTCAGAAAAAAAAACTGTTTCTTTTGAAGTAGAGCCTGTAATTTCTCTCTTTCTCTGCATTGGTCCTGAGGAATTTCCGGGGAGTCTTTGTTTTACCCACACTGATTATGAGACTTCCTGGAATCTGCTAATCTCCATTGCTGTTCAATGTGTTTCATGAGGATTTGCATGTGTATCTTGTGCTTGTTAATCAGAACTCATCTATATCAAGTCAAATAGGTCATATTTTTAAGATGTTCAGAATAAACATGTCAATAAAATAATTTTTGGAACAATTATTTTATGAGCATGTTGTTAGCACGTGAATAGAAAGAAAACTTCTGGAGAGTTTAATTTTGTTTACACTTGCTTAATTTTAAATACATTCTATATAGTTTCTTCCTTTTTCCTTCCTTCCTCCCTCTTTCCTTCCCTCCCTTCCTCCCTCCCTCCCTCTCTCCCTTTCTCTTTCTCTCCCTTTTCTCTCTCTCTCTTTCTTTCTCTCTCTCTCTCTTTCTTTCTTTCTTTCTTTCTTTCTTTCTTTCTTTCTTTCTTTCTTCTTTCCTTCCTTCTGGTTTGTTTGTTCGTTTGTTTATTCCTTCCTTCCTTTCTTTTTTTCTTTCTTTCCACACCCTCTCCCTTCCTCCCTACTTTTTTGCTTTCTTACTTTCTTGCTTTCATTGCTGGTAAGTAGGACCAAAATTTATGTCCTCACCAACTTCTGTCTTCAAAAACCAGAACCTGTGGTAGTGTCAACTATTGAGCATAGAAAGAGCTACATTTTTCTGATCTCAGCATTTGGCATCTGGATCTTAACTGTGGACAAGCCAGTAAGGAACATTATTATCATGACAAAGGTTTCCTAAGTCTTGATGGTTCATAAACATCCACAAGGAAAGTTACATAGTTCTTCACTTTGAATAGTGAGAGGAAATATAGAATGTGGTGATTTCTATATTGAAGTTTCGTACTACAGTTTACTTTTGCTAACTCATATAATTGTGAAAATTAACCAAGAGTGTAGCAGTTGATAAGGTCAAAATATAAAGATTATTTAGATTATAATGCAGTTTTAGTCCCCAAGAAAGACTAAAGATCAAAATGGAGATATCATTAAAGAAATGTTGTGCTGTACCTATGTGCAAATGAATACTTTACTCAGTAGAAAGGGGGCAGGAGTGGCTACACCTTGAGTTTCTCGGGCTAGTCTGCTATTGAGAATACAAATCTTATTGAGGCTCTATGATCTGCCACAAATCATTCTATAAAATAAAAATAGTAGATCCGGGTTATTCTTTCTTTTTGAATTTTAAATACATCTTTCTGAAATTGAACAAATTAATGTAAAAAAATAGGATTTTGATTTTTTTCTTGGATCTTGCTCAGACTTCTCCAAATTGATTCTATTTCCAGTCCTTTTTTCTTTTTCCTCCTCTCACTTTTATAAGAGGTGCCTGGATCTCAAGTTAATTTTAGAAAGGACACAAGGAAGATGCTATGAAGAAGAATCAATTACTTCATTCCTCACAGTTTAAATTAACTTAAAAATCATTTTGATAACTTATATAATGAATATAGTTATATGTATTAATTCAAGGATTCCTCATCCCCCCTTTCAATTTTCACTGATTGTAATCCTCAAGAATTTAAATTCAAATAGGATTACTTACTATCAAATAATATTAAACTTTTTCACATGGTAGACTATTCTCAATTTTGTTTAAGCTCCTCTATCAACGAAGGAATTTGACAAATTTTTAAATTTGCCTCTGGTTCATCGTGTCTATGATGTAATTTAGGTATATTTAGATTAGAGTGTCTAGAAGATCATGCCTCACTTTCTAATAGGTTATATTCAGTAAAAGGCAGCCCTGGGTGACTTTGTTATTGTGCAAATACCATGAGGTGGAATTGCACCAAGCAAGACAGCTGCAGCTTTTTCTGGCAGTGTAACCTGACAAAAGACCAGTCATGTATATAATGTATATAATACCAATGACCAAAATGCAATGACATATTGGCTATATGAGCTTGTGTGTGTGTTTGTGTGTGTGTGTGTGTGTGTGTGTGTGTGTGTGTGTGTGTGAGAGAGAGAGAGAGAGAGAGAGAGAGAGAGAGAGAGAGAGAGAGAGAGAGAGAGAAATTTCATTTAATCAAAATCTCAAACATCAGTATGGGAGTTAATAGTCACCATCTGAAGCATTATTGTTTCATAGTACTTCTTTGGTCTCTAATACATGCAGAACTTCTGAAACGTGCTAGTATGTATTTTGATAGCCTGTAGAAAATCGCAATTATAAAGTGTAAAAGAAGGAGCCAAGCAGGTGAAGGACAATTTCTAAAACCATCTACTTTCATGAATGAGATTTTAATGCTCATGGATAGAATATTGAGTTTATTTGGGATCTAGCAAGTATTCCAGAGAACCTGACAATACCCTCAGGAGAAACTTATTGTTTTTCTAGTTTTAATCCAGAGTATGGTATAGCACTATTTTAAAATTCGGTTGTAAGCTTTATAACTGAAGGTTTAAATTTGTGCATATACACTATAGTGAAAATAATCTTTCTCTACTTACAGGCAAACTGAAGTGTGGCTTCTCGACTGAGAATACTTCCAAAAGTGTTGGTGGCTAAACATTGATAAAGCCCAGAATCCCTGACTTCACTTGGATTGCTTATAATAAAGGTGCCATCTATCAAACTGTAGCGATAGTCACTTTCCAGATCAATCTCTGTTCCATTCCGGAGCCACCTGAGAGAAATATCATAAGACAAACACATTAAATTATGCAAGACATTATGATACTTCTTTAAAGTGCACACATGCACACAAACACACACACACACACACACACACACACACACACACACACACACACACACACACGGCAGGGTCTTGCTATGTAGCCCTGGCTGAACTTGAACTCAGAAACTCCCCGTCTCTTCCATTCTTCAGGAATTTTTAAAAGCTAAAGAAAATCAACACATAATTAATTTTTACCTGTAAGTGGGAGCAGGGTTGCCACGAACTTCACAATTCAGAGCTACCTTCTTTTCATCAGAGTCCGTTGGAAAAATGACATCATCAGGTTCTTGCACAAACACTGGCCCATAATCCACACTGTCTGCAAAGACCAAAAAATGTGCAGTTTAAAATGATTCAATGCAGAGGTCAATCCACCTCTGACCATTGCATTTAAATCTCTTGACCCCTTTCTATTCAGTAGTCACATTTCTGAAGGGAGGCAGAGGCAATATGCCTTGTAAAGCACTACAATAATTTTACCATCTATATTGATCTTCATATGTGATACAGAAGAGGCAAACATCATATATATATATATATATTTAATTTTAATCTCTCAGACACAAATAAAATAATATAAAAGTATTTCAAAAGTTCCTAAAGTTGGCAAAATTCTAAAGGTTAAAATTAACAAAAAATAAGGAAAGGTTTCAAATTCATATTGAGCCATAAGAGCTATAGACAAGGAATTGTCCATTTCATGCTTTTGATTTGAATTCCTATTTTAAAATATAATTTTCAGTTACTATTGTAAGTGAGCATACAATTAAGCAATGTGTTTTGATCAAATACACTTCCTACTCCCTCCTTTTCAACTTCTCCCATATACCCTCATCATTTTTCATGCAACCTTTCTGTTCTTTTAATGCATTGAGGCCAAGTAGTTCATCCAGTGTGTGCAAGGGTATGGGGCCAGGCCCTGTTACTAGGCAAACTATCAGCAGTTGCATTCCTGAAGAATCAAGGCTAGCCTTGAATTCATCATCTGCCCCACTTAATCTCCCCAGGACAGGAATTATGGGTATGTGCCAGAGTACACAGTTCATCCTGTATATATGTTCCCCATTCACGGGAAGTGTAAGAAAACAAATAGACACATTTTTATTAGGATCCATACACATGTACACAAGTAGCCAATTAATATATAATTGATATATAAATTAAATTCAGAAAGATTTGTATACTACATGTTTAAGAGTAGGTAAACATAGGATATACGATCAGTCAAGAGAGAAAAGATATCAAGGCCTAGGATTTTGTAATCTAGACCTTAACCTCTACTGCTACTTCTTTATTCCCTTCCTCTCTCCCTCCTTCTCTCCCTCCTTCCCTCTCCCTCCTACCCTCCCTCCCTCCCTCCTTCTTTCCTCCTTTCTTCTTTCCTTCCCTCTATTTAAGCCTTAATGTTTAAAGTATTTTGTGTTTAATGATGTCAGCATTGTTTTTACTTCTAAGTGAAAAATGAATCCTCTGAAATCCTCAGAGAAGACTTTACTATACCAGTCACATAGTGAGTCAGCTCTTACTAGTGTTTTAAAGATTTAAAATTAAATTCTGCTAACTGTCAACATAGAGCAAGAGAAATAAAAGCTTGGCAGGTTCCATCAAACCAGAAAAATGTGCTCATTTGTTATGAGCAAAATCGCCTATATGCTGTAATGACCTTGTGTAAGTGAAGAATGACTTTTGTGTATCATCATCAGTTTCCAGAGCGTCTGAGCCCTTTTCCAACTCTCCACTATTTCATGTGTCGCCATGAGGCCATAACCAACCCAAACAACAGAGAAAATAATGGTGAATTAAACCAGAAGAGCAAAGTACATAGAATGCTAAGTTATGGAGTTAAGCCTAATTTCTTCTTTTTTGTGGCATTTTTAATTAAAAAAATACATTACTATTGTAAAGTATTAACCATTATTAATAAAGTACTAAGTTTCTATAACTATCTTATAATATAGTGCACATTATTTTGAATTATTAGACTATGAGTCAGACTTCCTTCGAGAGAGTTGCTTCAAATTTTATGTGATCTATTTCATACTGAATTATTTATAATAGCTGGTATATAAAATCTGCCTAGGTGACCGTCAACCAAAGGATGGGCAATTGAAGTTTGTTTCAAATACATGATGGGTACCCAGAGTGTGTCACAGATACACAATGAGTAACTAAAGTGTGCCACAAATATGGGTAAAGTATGCCACAGATATACAATGGTTAATTAAAGTATACCACAATGCATAATGGGTAGTGCCATACATACACAATGGGTACTTAAATGTGACATAAATATACAATTAGTAATTGAAATCTGCCACAAATAAACAATGAGAGTTTATTTAGCCACAAGGTGAAATTATGACATTTTCAGAAAAATCCTACGTTAAGTGAAATAAGCCTAACTCAGAAGAATAGGACTTCTTTTATGTATGGCCTTAGATATTCTTACTCTCTCCTCCTGCGGTTCTCTCTGTCACACACACACACACACACACACACACACACACACACACACACACTTACACTAGTGTCAGTGCACATCAGCACATCATTAACTAGAGGAGACCGTAGGAGGAAGGGGTACTTTGGGTAAAGCATAGAGGGAATATATATGACATGAATGAAGAGTGGCCACAGAAGGAAGCAGTGCAATGTCGGGGGCAGGAAAACACCAAAGTATGTCTGGAATGTCATACTAAAACTCATTATTTTATGCCAATTTAAAAATAAGCTGTCAATATTGTAATTCTTGGTATGGATTACAGTTTTTATTCATACTTCTGGTTATATGATTAATAAAGCCCCCCAGCCTATTTTTCTTTTTCTAAGTATCTTGATTTTCCTGTGTGAAGCACACAAACACACACACACACACGCACACACACAATTTATTGATTCACAGGTGTTAATGATTCTTGCTTTGTATTTTCCTAAGACTGATTTTCACAAATCATACTAATTTTTCATTCCAGTGCTTGAATACAGCTCAGAAACAGAGAGCTTATCTAAAACAGAAAAGACTCTGGAATCCAAGAATCTGTTTTATCTTTGACATCTGACCCTTTTAAAGTCATTCAAGGTTTGCCTCAGTTCTGGATGCTTTTTCTTGGCACTGCTTCATACACCGTCATCTTTAGTCTGCAAAGAGACCCTCATCCCTGTCATCTTTACCAATCTTAAGACAAAACAAAGCCACCCATTACTCCCTTCTTTTAAGCACCAAGACCCCTGCTCTCCTTAGAAAGCTCCATAACACAACCTCAATGACTCTCATTCCTTGCCACATACATTGTGATATCGGCTCCTACATCCTTACTACTTTGGGGATTTCTTTGCAATCGTTTGGTGCCTTTTTGAAAAAGTACATCAAGTTACGGCTCATACTGTTGGAGCTGAAATGTAGAAGTAGAGACTCAAGAAGGGCAACTTTGGCTGTTTTTGGATAGCTCCCCATCACAGCAAGAGATGGTGTCTATGGAGGTAAGCAGGAGCCAGGTGGGCAGATCAGAGTAGCATGAACTGGAGAAGTTTAAAATGTGTCTGTGAATCATAAAACCATGCTACATAAAATATGTCCTTCCCCTCTCAGATATTTGAAAGCAACCTCAGCCACTGTAGGCTCAGCAAACTTAGGAGATGAGGTTGTGTTGAGAGCAATTGGCTACACATCTACCCAGCTCTTTTCCAGCTATCCTAAGATCACATGCTTTTTGCATGCCTTTCATTATTCTTAATTGAAATTCATGGTTATTGCAATATAAATACACATAGAATTATCAAAATTTAATAGAAAGGCAAAATTGAAATGATTTATCCAAAATATTATTTAATCAAGTATGTAACATCCAAGGAGAAACTATAACAGATGATAAAAAGAGATAACCAAAATTTTGTTTTAATTTTCCATAAAATTCCCATGAATGAGGTCACTTAATATAATTTGATCTGGATGTGTGATATTGGCATACCAAACATCAAATTGTTGGGTAATATAATTTTAAAGAACTCACTTTTACAAAAGTACTCACAAAGGTTAGTAAGTTGTGTATAGTTTGTACAGTTTTACAATGATATAGTCATTACACTTAAAAATATCTTACATGTAAAAACATAAGTGAGATCATTTTCTAATAATTATAAACAGAATTCCTGCTTACGCAAAGTCTGCTATGGCATTCAATTGTCCTATGGATTCCAGTGACTGGGTCTTTAGCATTCTCAGGGCCACTGTGTACATTAAAGCACAGTTGTTTTATAACCTTGGTCTTGAGACAATCCAGGCTTCTTCCACAAGTCCTGCTGGGAGATGCCACACCCAAACATTAATGGAGCATAGCAATACCTGCTACCCACTGTGATCCTGGGCTGGAGCTCTTCCAGGGGAATTCTCAGATAGTTGATTTAAGGGATCACTTGATTTCCTGGGGTTCAGCCAGCCAGGATTTGAGGGACACACTTGCTTTGCTGGAGAAGCTTTCTGGAGAACTACAATGATTCTGTTTTGCCACAGAAACCACACGCTGCCTTCTAGAATGTTGCGCTAGATCACACTCAATCCAGTTTTCTCTCCTAACTCTTGAAACACAGCCTTTTCCTCCCAAACTTCCCAGCCAACTTCATCACTGCCAAGACAAACTAAGAAATCAGCACTCTATGAGGCCCCAAACTCAAATTCATGGGGAAGGTTTCCTTCCTGTTTCCTGCATCGGTGTTTATCACGATGATGACAAGCTACTAGTGTATCTCCCTGAATTCTAAACTGCCTTCCAAACTACAACATTCCCTCTAGTAATTGTTTTCCCTATCATTTCTCAGACACTTACATCTGATTCCAAGCCCCCACCCTTTGCCTGCTGGTTACCTCTGACTTACGGCTGACATCAGCACACCAGCAGTGTAATATGAAGGTGTATCAAGATCGCCTGTCAATAGAGCGATGAGAATCACCAGGAGCAGAATCCAGGAGGGTAATGCTATGGCTACAGCTTTCATCCAGTAAGCCTGCCAAGGCGTACAAGAGACTCTCTTCACATTACCCCTGCTGTTGTTGTTTCCCTTTAGACACTTATGTTTTTCCTTTTGTAAGTGTGATAACAGGCTACTAACACTTTTTACTTCACTCCTACCATAAGTGATATTTTATTATTGTTTACAGTCTAGATGCTCAGAGGTCTCTCAGGCAACTGCTGCTAAAAATGTACTTCACTGCCTTATTGGGGGATTTTGCTAACCTAGATAAAAAGTTTACATTCCTTAAGAAGTATATTTATTAATAAATTCCTTAGTCATTGCTAATACTGTGAGCATTGTCTATGTGCA